TTAAGTAACAATGCGCTAAAGAACTAGGGAGCTCTCTATTGTTCTGCGGCATAGCAAGTTCCCCATGTACGAATGTCTTGGTTTTCACACTGATTATGTATTAACCTGTGGTTAACACATTTTTGAAATAAAATGTGGATAAGCTCTATTTTGAAACAAAGTTTCTTTTGTATTAAAAGCTCTTATCCAATCATTAGCACTCAAAACAATAGCCAAAAGATGGTTCTAATTTGCAATGTTCCCCACATAGAATTGCCTTAATATTGAAGCTAAAGAAAGCTTTCATGAAAGCGAAAACAGACATTAAATGAAATATTAGAAAATTCGCTAACTTGTGAAATTACAGCAGATTTTCAAGTTTTAACCAATGGGATGGATGGATTATACAATGCGCAATTAGCACCTTCTTGCATTCCTGTGCCGTTTGCTTCCCTAGTTCTGATCTTACCTGGGGCATTACTTAATTACACAACATTTTATGATCAATACTAGTAGCATGATTGAAATTCAATAAATTCCACATTAATAAATATATATCGTTTCCTGTATTTCAGTGTAGTTTGCAGTCAACTATACGACCCTTATCCCAGACTCTTATCGTACAATGAAAACAAGAAAAGAAGCCTCAAAAATCTAATGTCAAACTAAAATGATGACACATCATTATCCACTTTTCCAAAACTACCCTTGTTTATTAGACTCTATACTATAAATTCATCCATATCACCCTCGACAGTGTTTCATGATTCTAATGGGAAAGATTGAAAACAAGAAAACGCATGAAATTCGTAAAGAAGACAATATTATTGATTTGAAATCTCACACTTATGCTTACAATTAGGAATATTTTGCACACAAATGAGGCTAACAAAGCATTAAAGAACCCATTTGGAGTAACCACATGCGCTCTTCGAGCGCCTTTAATTAGTTTCTCTCGTAAACGTTCAATAGCTGGTTAGTATGGTTTGACAGTATTCTAACTTTGAAGGAAGCGAACGAGGGTGTCGTCTAATTTTCAGCTATGATAAAGGGGCATGGCAATAATTTTTTCATTTAAGAGAGAGGAACGTCATTCGCTTCTCRGCTTTCCTCACTCATTTAAATGTGCATCCATACAACTCCATTCTTAAAGATGGATGCTCATTAAACTCTTTCACTATCAGTCTGATGTGCCTTGTTTTGATTGGTACTTCAAGCTCGTGTTTCACGACCGTATCTCTGTCGCTGTTACCTGGAAAAATCTGTTTGTAAGAAAAAGAACAAATAATGAAATCAACAAAATCATCAACGAGTATTATCAGTCAGCTTTTCTATATCATTACATCGCAAAGAAGCACACTAAATGTCAGCAAAAAGAGCTGTATTACCCCCGGTGGTATATATGTATATATGTGGGAATTGAAAAACACGAGAGAAGCAAGCTTAGAAACACGGTCTTCAGCCAATCAGAGCGCGCGCTATATATCAAAAAGTTTATAAAAATCGATATATAATAGCCAACTTTCAATATTGTTGATGGTTAACCAACTTTAAAAATATCGAGACTGATTGGGCTGCATATTGTCGACACTAATGATAGGGTGTAGATAGTTCAATAGTTTGGTGCTTATCCCACTAAGACCTAGTGCCCGTCTGATAAGACCATCGTTCAATTGTTCTCTCAACGGATTTTTAAAAGAACGTAAAAAGCCTTTTTGTATACCAATACTGGTCATAAATTTTCACCTTTGTACAATCTTCTGTGTAACTTTTCCAATTACTGGCATCATTGCTGTACGATAACGAGTACTTAGTAACAAATTGTGCACAGCAGTCTTGTCGACCTTGTGTGGCAACCATGGTGATGACCTTCTCCATACCAAGGTCAACTTGGATATACTCGTCATTAATACGGCGATTTAGTGCAGACCAGGCTCCATAACCAACACCAGGAGCATTTTGTTTATGCAGTCGTCCATTTCTAAATTAAAAGAGATAAGTGTTTCTAAATTCGCTATGAATCTTGGGAACACACACTCAATTGTTTACGGTTACGAGCTAGACTAGGTGCAGTCAAACTAGGCCGCCTTACTTTGGTGCATGAATACTCGAATACGACGACGACGCAGTTATTTGATTATCCTTGATAGTACCATCCTGCATTCCCAATGGACTCGTACAGCCTGCCAAAGAAGAAGGAAAATTTCTTTTGGGAAAAAGGAGATAAAAATAATGGTSGAACTGAATAAGGAGAAAATAAAGAAAAACAAATGTGGATTGCAAGCAGATAGGTTAAGGTTAAGCAGAAAGAATGTAACTTGAGGTATAGATTCGTGGAAGAACAGGAGAAATTTTAAAAAAGGATCATGAACTTATTGTTTTGTTCTCTAATTGAGCTCTCTGACTCACTGGTGTTAGTATTGTTTCGACGTTTCGACGCCATTTTGGTCGTCTTCCTCRGGATTTTTATTGCATAGATTGAACTCAGACTCGTACCCAGTCGCTTCTTCGAGCGGYGCGCAATGCATGAAGGGAAGGGCGAAAGAAAGGCGCGAAGCGCGTTACTTTTTYTCTCTCCTTCCCATCAACYCCTTCGAGCGAAAGATWAAGCGAACGWGTCTGGATTGAACTGTTGATGCGGAACGAYGCCAAARATCAAGTGCAGTTGACACGAAAGAGWAGATGAGAAATTTATATGAACGGCAAGAAGGAAAAGAAGGATAAAAGATTGAGTGCATGCATATCGATAACTGGATATCAAAGAAATAAATAAAAGAATAACTACACCGAATCAGTTGAGGTGATCATGTATATGGAATTTTAACAATCCAAACAAATGAAGATATTGCTCTGATTCCCCCTATATAACATTTCAGAACACGTATAGTCAAGTACATTGGGGAGCTTGACTGATCTATTTCGATATTCTAAAAAGCATAACATAAAACTAGGATCATGCGGGCATTTCCTTCCCTCTCCCTCCCGCCAAACATGCGAATATCTGGTTCAGTAATGACGCCGTCACTTCTCTRCATCGTTAATTCTTACCTGTCGTATCGACCTTTGGTTTTAGTTGGCACTGCTTCGTTTTAACACTCAATCCTTGACAACCGATACCATTATTTCTAGGAGCAGGATTTGTACAATTTCTAGTTTTAGTTGGAGTACAGACCAATGGTAGGTATTGAGAGCATTCACGTGACCATGCACTCCATTGGGTCCAACCACCATCTAGTAT